CCATGGGGTTCGCAGTTCCCTAGAGCACTCTTCAAGATTTGGTCTATAGCGAAATTGAACAAGAGGGGTGATGCTGGACAGCCCTGTCTCGCGCTACTGGTGGTGTCAAATGGAGGTGAAAGTTCGCCGTACATCCGCACGCGGCCCGAGGTTTGAGAGTAGATGGTTTGAAGTAAGGTGGCATATCAGCGTGAAATACTTCGCGAACCGCGTTTTCGGCAGCGGGAACAAGCTTCACCCTTCGTTGATGAACTGTACAACGCTTGACGCCTTTAAGGGGGTCTAGACAGATGTTGGTTAAAACATTTTCCAGAACTATTGTAAACATATTGATGCTCGTTTCAAAGAACTCATGAAGGATAAACGTACAAGCTTGCTTCTTTTTGCTTCCTTTTCTTTGCAGAAGCAAGAAATGTAATTGGAAGTCGAAGTACTGAGGACTCTTTTTTGCTTGCCGGTGCAAAAGTAGTACGGTTGTTAGGCGGAAGCCTATACCGTTCTAGAAACCTGACCTGACCTGAACTTCTCGGACACCCCTCTCAGTAGACAATTTCAGGGAGTAGCTCTGTCGACTGAGTCAAACGCGGCTTGTATGTCTAAGAAGAAAACGATCGTTGGCCGGCCACATATTTGACGACGCTCCAGTATTTGACCGAGTGTAAAGACGTGATCGATGCAACTCCGACTAGTGCGGAACCCAGTTTGCTCTTCACGTATGCTCTGTTTGCGTACCAGGCTGAGCCTCCTTAGAAGCAGAGCCCTGAGCACCTTGGAGGCAACACAGAAGAGACTAATCCCTCTGTGGTTGGCTTAGTCATTTCGAGTACCCTTTTTGAAAACGAGCCGATATCCATTAGGCTCAAATCAGATGGGATAACTACAATGCCCCAGATCTCTTGGAGGAGAGAAGTTAACTCCTGAACAATTAATGGGCCGCCATCTATGCAAAGGGCTGCAGGCAGTTCATCTGGAGCAGGGGCTTTCTAGTGCCTTAGGAGGCAAAGCTCGTGGGCAACCTTAGCCTTGAATGGTGGTGAGACGTCTACACACCAGGAAGCGTTCTGGACTCTAGAATGGGACCTCATCGATGCTGCTGGTCTAATAAACTGCTGCTCAAATTGCTCGGCCCAAAGCTCGAGTCGGTGTTTTTGACAGCGGATTGGCTCGCTTTTGATTTCGCATAAAATGTCGCTTATAGTCGGTCTTTTGCCCTCAGTAGATCGGAGCAGGAGTAAAAGCTTAGGGAAATTACTCGAGGTGGCTTCTTGCTCCATCTCAATGAACCGCTACGTCCAAAACGCCTCAAAATCTTCCCGGAGAAGATGTTTGTGCTCAGCGTTGGTTGTCTCGCATATGGAATGGTACTTAACGTTAGCAAGAATTGCTCGACGGTCTTCGACAAGTTTTAGAGATCGTGCAGAGATCCAGTGGTTGACAGGACTACTGTTAGAGCCACAGACTAAGTTGCATAGTTCTATGTGGCGCCGCGGATGTGTGTCCATTGTGTTTCACTGTCTGTGCAGGAGGAAGTCTTCATCCGTGAGACAAGGCATCCTGAAATGCTGGGAGAACGTTTAGGGCATAACGCTTAGCCACGTCAAGCTGTTTCTGGCGACGTTACAGGGAGACACCAAAAAGTAGCGTGACCTTGCAACACACCAGCGTGTGAGCCCAGGTGAGAAAGGTACTCCCAATTGATTTGCAATCCTGTATGCGATCGCGCCAGCGATAGCTAATGGTGACGTGGCCAATCTTTGTCCACGGTGCGCCAAGTGACAGGTGTCTTCAGGTGGTGCGTTGGCGACAGGTTCTCCGAAAGCTAGTACCCAAAAGAAAGAGGCCGTGATAGGCGCAAAGCTGATTTAGTCGATCACCGTTATCAGCGCTGCGAATGCCTTTGCCGTGTTGACCACCGAGTTCATGTTCCTGACCTTCAAGTCTACCGATCTGCTCGTTCAAGTCTCCGGCGAGCATCACCATGGCGGTACGGCGCTTTTTACGGAGAACCTAGGCCAGTTGTCCATCTCCAGTAGAGTTAGGGTCTATAGTAGGCTTTTGTCGTCCTTCGTTGTGAAACGCAGTGTAAATCATGGCTGCCGTACGTCCCTGTTCCTCATCAATTATACGAATGAAGACGTACTTTCGAGAGCTCTAGATGGTTACCAAAATGTTAGTCTACAGATATTACCGGGTAAGTGAGCTCCCTACTTAGATTATGACGATGATGTCGCCCTACTTGGTGACCACTCACAGAGCATACAAACCGTTCTAGGCCGCTTGGCTATTGAGGCATCTGGGTACGGAATGTGCTTTGCCCCGTCCAATTGTAAACTCCTGCTTCAGGATTGGCAATGACTCGTTCCCGTGCTCACCATTGAAGGTACACAGCTTGAACTAGTGGATAGCTTTGTCTGCCTAAGCAGCTGTGTCTGCTGGTGGTTCCATTGGAAAGGAAGTTGCTCTTCGCATCGCCAAAGTTCCGAAAGCGTTTGTCAACTTGAAGCACTTTTGCCGTCGTCGGGATGTCTGCTTCAACGTCAAGAGCAGCGGATGCATGGATTAAATCTCCACGCTCCGCTAACTCCTCGAACATCGCCACCTTTATTACAGACTCACTATCACTGCATTCCTAGACATCCGTGCCGCTTTTGCCTCTGTTGTTCGACCTGCATTATGGCCTTGCTTGCTAAAAAAACGGTGTACCAGAGACATGTACTGCCATCTTACGAGCACTTTACCTTCATACATCCGGCAGAGTGAGGGTCTATGGCCAGCTCTCCTCGCAATTCACTGTCAATAGTGGTGTGGGACAGGGCTGCCCTGTTCACCCATTTCTCTTCAACTTCGCAATCGAAGACATTCTGTTGAGTGCTCTAGAAGGTTTCCAACATTTTGGGCTAGAGCTTCTACCAGGTGAGCGCGAGACAGACTCAGATTATGCTGATGAAATCGCCTTACTTGGTGACCATCCTCAGGGTACGCAACTCATTCTGGATCGTTTGGCGATTGAAGTAGCTAAGTATGGCATGAGCATCGCCCCATCGAAGTGTAAAGTACAGCTCAAGGAGTAGATTACCCCTGCTCAAGTGCTCACTCTCGAAGGTGCACAACTTGAAAAGGTAGCTAGTTTCGTCTATCTTGAGAGCTTTGTTTCTGCTGACAGCATTATCAACAATAAGTTTGTCTTCTCATCACTAAAGCCTGATCAGCATTTGTCAACCTGAGGCACTTGTAGCGTCGGCGCGACGTCTCATTCGCGCTAAAGGGCTGTGTTTACAGCGCATCAGTTCGTTCAGTATTGTTGTATAGATGCGAGTTCTGGCCGATTCGCGTAGAAGACATGTGTCGTCTTTCTGCCTTTGATAACGGTTGCTTAAAGAGGATCGCTCGTGTTTGGTGGCAACATGGACTTAACGGTAATGCCGTTCGATGTCGCATCATTGGGAATACGAGTATTCCCTTCAAAAAACTGGTTTTGTTGTGCCAGTTAAGACCGCAGGGTCACGTCCTACGCATGGCATTTGAGCGTCTACTGCGTCACGCTCTATTCGCTCGTCCAGGATCTGGCTGGAGGCGAGCGCGTTGTGGTCAGCCTTCCACTTAACGGCAGCTCATGAAATCGCTGACGTCGTGTCTATCCGCTGTTGGAGCCGTACGTCTTCCAGGATGGGGACCCGAAGATGAGGAGTGCCAATGGCTTAGCACTCTTGAAGACATGGCCCGCAATCGGAATCAGTGGAAGAATGGTGTACAGTATTGTATTGATTCACATGTTTAATACTACAAACATTGAAAATGATAAAAAAAGAAAAGCCGTCGTGTGCAAAACAAACTAAAAATGTTTTGTTCTACTTTTTGTCAAAATGTTCCATTCTTCCGTTGGCATATTAACTGAAGTGTGTTGCTCACCTTCAACTACCATGCCATGATGATTATAACGCGATGACGGTCCCTTATCCGCTGATCTTCATGCTTTTACGTTGGCTCTGTTTTTAGTTGATAGACTGCTGAGATTACCGCTACTACTACTACTACTACTATTATTATTATTACTACTACTGCTGCTACTCCTCCTACTACTATTGTTACTACTACTACTACTACTACTATGCATAGGTTGAAAACCACTACAACAAGTGGCAACATTATACCACTTACACACTTGCAGCAAACTGAATTCTACTGAAAGACGCCGAACGGGAACGCTTGTTTCTAAAGCCTGTATAAGCTTTGTAAGTTAGTGACCTCCGTCCACCCAATAAAAATGTAACGGACTGACGGTTTTTCGTTTTCTTGCTGCTTTCTGTAGAAAATATTCCATGAGCACATTTGTTTATAAACCTAAGCAACTAAGGCAGTCTGCCTGAAGAGACTTGAACTGCGTTTTTCTGTGGTAACTACACTTGCACGTTGACTCGCTTTACATACATCCAAAGCTGCACCTTGCACTACTGGTTTTTCGTGATACCCTATTGTCCTCTTAGGCTGTCGCGTTGGCGTTTGTTTTAGTTATCTATATAATTCAGAAAGCGCAATATATCTCTCTGTCGATACCTTATTGATGCGTTATCAGTTTGACTGGTAGATAAGAATTAGGAGTTGGGTTGCTTAAGTGCACACCGTTTAGTGCACTGAATGCACAATCTTTGTTTCTAGACACAAGCTTGGTAATGTTGGGAAGATAATGCACTCCACTGAACGCTTGAGGGGGTAAACCAATTTCAATGGTTTGTTTTTAGAGCGACCCTAATAGTTTCTCTAGGGCTGTCCAACGAAACATTGGAGATGGAATGCGAATTCATAATTGCTTGTCTTAGCATAGCAAATGCTCATCTAGCAACCGAACTGCACAGCGCGCACTACCTAGGTAACCCGTATTACGTACTAAAAAAGCATACCGTCAGTTGGAAGCTTTAAAGTAATGCTTTACGCTTACCATGGCCGTTATGATGTAAGGCTGATACAAGCCTGAACGCTTCATCAACGTATCTGCCACTTACCACGACTTCATTCGTACGTAGCCAAGTTAGCTTCTGATCCACACATAGGAGTAGCTCTGTATTCCACTGCTGATCGTCGGGGCAAAAGCACTGGTACTGGTGCGCAAAGATGCCCAGCGGCATGCAATGTGTAATTCGACAACTTGTTTGAAGTTTGCACGGATTCCTACACAAACATTCGAAAGTTCCCAAGTTTTTTACTACCGAAAAGATTGCATGGCAAATCGTCACACAACTGGTGGCAAACATTGACCCCATAGATGGAGTGTAGTAGGAGATTTCGCGATTCTTGTAGGCGCTGTAGTTGCCATGTTCTTGCGCCATTTGTTGTGCGAACACACTGGATCCACGACCATGATCCTGGAGTTGCCGAAGAAATTCCTCACGCGCTCGATATCGGCACATTTCGTTCGGCTGACACTTTCGAATACACTGTCGTGTGTAGACAGTGGCGAAGGTATCAATCACTGAGGTGGACAGCAAAGTTTCAAGCGTGTTGTACTCGGTTCCAAACAAGTAATTGGTGTACTCCAACTTTTCGATTGACAAAACTTCGGGAACGAGATCGGGGCAAAATGTGATCTCTACAGCATTTGCAGGTGACAGCAAATATATTGCATATAGATGAAGAGAAATTAATAAATGCAGTATAACTGACTCTGACAAGTAAGTTCCGAAGGAACTCCTAGTCATTCTTTTGAACATGAAGTGGAAATGTGGTATTTGAGGCAGTGTATTGAATTCGAGTATGTCACGTGTTCTTAGGAAGCGGGAGTGGAAGTATTGATTGTTGGGCTTCAAATAAACTACCAATCAATAATGGTCAGTTGCAAGTGGTGGGCACATGACAAAACCTTCAACGAATCACGGGCAATGCTGCTTTTCAGTAAAGCAGATATTTCCATGACATCCAGATGAATGAAGTCCAGAAGTCAGTTGAGGGTTAAGAATTCTTTTCGGTAAACTTGCCTCTGAAGAGAGGTTACCGAAAAGAATTCTTAACCTGAACTGATTTCTGGTCTTGATTCACGTGACAATATGCCAATTTATAAATCATAGTAACTAAAAGTTGCACGCCTTAATGAGTATACACTAGATATATATTCCTCATTACCAGGTATTCGGCTTTCGAATTTTCCCATTTAGGTACACCAACCTGTGACCAGTAAGTTTACAAATGTGAGCAAGCTTACCAGTAATCGAAAATCCTTTGGTTACGAAGGTACTTAATTGATGAGGCAAGTACATATTGGTTGTTACCCTCCTGAAGACGCTGCAAACAGAAGCCATTTGAACTTATATGGATTATATATTTTACAAATGCAGTGTGTATGACTGTGTGCATATGCATTTCCAGTGCGTGTGCACTACAGCGCCCTTCAGCTATGTAGGCCTGATTTGACTGTGTGCAAATTCCAAAGTGTGGCATACAAAACATTACATTCTTTATACCCCATAATGTAACCCGAAGGATTAGACTGTCCGAATAATTGTAATAATGAGCGATATCGGCCACAATTGCTGTCAGGCATAAAACGATATAAGTTGACCTGGTGAAAATTTCTAAACGGTAAGGGAAAAATCGTGTCAATGCTCTCCACAATTTCGGTAGGCTTTAGTTTTGCCGCTCAAGCAGGCTCTGCCTCGCATTGCAAAGTGATCGTGAGGGAATTTAAAATAAACACTCCATGAAATGAAATGTGGTGCAACACAGTGTCGACGTACATGCACCTTCTAACAACTTCTTCCATCCTTCAAGATTATGATCCCTCAGAATAGAAGTGGCTGTCAGCCATCACCAACATCAATAACAGCAGTTCAGTACATGGCACTGCAGCTTCGCTGGTTGGACATTGGGAATGAGGAACAATAATTGAGAGAAAAGGGAAACGCTATAGACTATACGCAGATAGTGCACGGACCCAAGGAACTAGCTATTTTCCGACGATACAACAGAAAAACACAAAAGCTAGTTATGGTTTTACTCACAAAGAAGCGCTTGTTGTTTACAGTGCTTTATTTCACTTGTCATTGCTACTGAGTTAAGGTGAGGGGGCCAAAATTCACTGCACCAACGCGCGGTTTGGATAGCAGAAGTAAGAGTCGTGGTCGGAAGAAATCTGAATGTTAACCGTAGTTCTAAAATCGTAATTTACATAAAACAATACGATGGACTTACGAATAAGTGAAACGACCAACAGAAAGGAAAACAGTAGAACCACAAATCGTCTGAGCACGGTAATCAAAACAGCACAGTAAAACAAGCGTGGTAAAGATGTGAAAGAAAAAAGTGATTGCACAAATATGAAAATAGTTAGCAACAGAAACAGAAGAAATATGAAATTTATAAATTTATCGCAATATTGCCGTCAGTCTATAACTATATGGAGCCTCGATACACTTCCATTAAATTCGTAGGAAAGGCAAACTACTCATCAGTTGTCAGTAGAACGGTTCACATTCCTGTAAATTCGGAGTGCACAATACAAGTGCATGTGAACACAAATTAATGCCATCCTTTACGATTTAACCTGGGTAGACTGTTTAAATGTCAAACGGGTCGAAATGGGCTTACAAACTATGTGATACTCCACCACTACGTATGTGGAATTTCTGCAGAATAAAGGATAACATTTATAGATGTTCAAAAGCACCGTAAGAAACCGAAAACCGGTAGATGCATGCATTTCGTAGTCTCCTCAGTACCCTTAACAAAAACCGGTATCCAACTATATGCTTAAAAATGCGTGTGGCCAACTAAGCGGGGGGGGGCCGGCACACATGGCTGGCGGCATCCGGTTTCGCATTTGCCTGTCAATGTGGCCAGACACATATATATATATATATATATATATATATATATATATATTTGCAAAAGTCTACGAATAGACATAATGCCATCAGAAACCATGGGATTCAAACGAAGATACAGAAATAGTAAAATAAAACACAACACAACAATGTCCATGGTTTCCTCAGAGGGCGAGATACTACCCGGTTGCCCAAGCCGAAGTAGGGTGTTGATTTAGGGGACACCACCCCGAGCCTTTGGCTAAATAGCCTGTCCGCAAGGCAGCGGAGCGAATTCAGGGAATCGCGCCCATTGGGAGCCGGTGACTGATTGCTCAGTTCATACGCCTTTCGTTTGTTCCTTTGTCAAACAGGGGCCCAATGCTCCCCAGAAGTACAGCATGATGTTGCTGGAATACAATGCTTCGCCAAGATGAAGCAAGGGGCAGTGACTTTATCTAGTGGCGAGTCACGTCCGCCACGTCACAGTGTTGTTAAACGGACATATGTGGCTTTTTATAGGGAGAACGCTTGCCAGGCGAACACCCACCACGTCCTGGAACACTGCCGCCAAACCATTTGCTGGAACGGGAAAATCCCGTACCACCCAGCTGGCACCACGAGGAGGTTGCTCGGCAAGCCAGCCCTGCGCCTACAGAGGGACCATGGATGGCTCGCGCTGCACCACCCACAGCTCCAACCACACACCCCATATCCAGTGTAAACCTGAAGGAATAAGACGGGGAGGCATGCGGATGGGAGCCAGATTTCATCAACGGAGCCGGCCCACATTCCTTCACAAGCAAACACAAGCAGACTGTATTTGGGGAACCAAGCGCACACAAGGCGGTGGCTGGACCGTAGTCCGCTCCACACTGAGTGTATGGAACCACTCTTCGAACCTAACACGGCCACAAGGACGGTGCACTGCGTCCCCTCCAGCAACGACCAACTGTCTCCTGGAGCCAGTATGAACGAGGTAGTGGGTAATATGCAGGTAGGCACCTGGTCAACATGCACATCAAGCCTAGCCACACCGGGGATATCAAAAAACAGACAATAACTTGAGGGAGAGAGAGGCAAAAAAATAACTCAATTAATGCATAAGAAAACGGTGACAAAAACCTTAAATTAGTGAGCATATGAAATAAGTTGTTTACAAACGAATCCTAGATAAGTTCCCGAGATCAGAATGTATATTTACGGAAATGCCACAAAAAACCCTTATGGTAATCGAATAGAGTTGGCGTAAGATAGGTGCGCAAGTTAATGGAATAGAGTACAGGTAGATATTCATAATGGAGAAAGAAAAGCATTAGGGCAAAATTGAAAATCCACCACCTTAAATAAAGAGACAGCATGCAAGCACGCGGTTAGTAAATCGCATGCAGCGTACCTACAAACGCTGCGCCGGTTCTGCCTACGTTCTCTGCAGAACCCATGGGTGCTTCGGTAGTAGTCCCGAGTGGCCTCGCTCATGGCTTACTAGGCCTGCCTGACTCAGGCACTCGCGACCGCATGTGCTACAGCACCATACACTCGATGCCGATGGAGTACAATCCATCGGTGCTTGCCGCTTCCGCACTTGCCGCTTCTTCTCTGCATGCATGAGGGCTTTCTCCTGCACTTCAGCAACTGCCTTCGTGATGAGATCGCGCCATACGCACCGATCAACCGCTTTCGATTCCCATGACCTGCAATCAAGATTAGAACGTGTGAGGCTCACTTTAATGATGTCCTGGTAACGTAACTTTGGTTTCTCACGTGCCGCTTCCTAATACTCAGCTGACCGTATAAGAGTTGTTTCGGTATCCGAGTCGAATCCATGAGGCTCACATGACCGATCCACCGCAGGTGTCTCAATAAAAGTATGCAGTCCACTGCATACATCCCACTTCGGCGCAACACTTCCGTGTCTGCAACTCTGGCGCCCCAACCGATGTGCAAAATTCGTCGCAGACACTGCTGATGGAACCGCTCGAGATATCGCCCATCCCGACGGTACATCGTCCACGTTTCACTGCCGTATAGAAGAACGGACAGTACCATGGATTTGTACACCATCAGCTTCGTGCCAATGGCAAGCTGATGGTTGTTCCACACACGGTACTCAAACTTCCCGAATGCTGCTGCTGCTTTCGACACGCGAATACGGAACTCAACGTGTAGCTGCTGGTCAGTCGACATCACACTCCCAAGGTAGCGGAAGCGGGAGGTGGTTTCCAATACTTCAGCACCAATGCTGATTCGCGGCAATATTGAAGATTGCACCTCCGATGAAGGCTGAAAGAGACAGACAGTTTTGCTTGTGTTGATGGTGAGCCCGAATTTGACCGCTGCCGAAGCCAGAGCACTAGTCATGTGCTGCAACTCATCCGCGCTGTGTGAAAACAACGCACAGTCGTCAGCAAACAGCAACATACGGATAGTTGTCCCACAGACTAGAGTTCTCGCACCGAAACGACGGATGTTCAGCAACCCAACATCAATACGGTGCTCTACACGAACACCGTAAGCAAAAGCGGCATCAAAAGCACAAGATAACATTGCATGAAGGTATATATTAAACAGGGCAGCAGTTAAGACACAGCCTTGCTTCACACCAGAGACAACTGCAAAGTCATCCGAGGTCTCTCCACTCAGCTGCACCGTCACTCTCATACCACTGTGCAGACATTCACTTAAACTTACAAACTTACGCGGGCAACCAAACTTACACAACACCAGCCAAAATGTCTCGCGGTTCACCGTATCAAATGCCTTGGTGAAATCAACAAAAAACGAGTACCATGGCTGGTGTCATTCTCTGCACTTCTCCTGCAACTAGCGAGCCGCAAACACCATGTCTATAGTGCTGCGACCCGAAAGGAATCCACACTGCTCCTCCGCCACATTAGGTTCCACAAACTGACTGACGAGGCGGTTGAGCAGGATTCGAGCAATCACCTTGCCCACACAACTCAGCAAGTTGATGCCACGATAATTCGTGCAACATTGCTTGCT